GTGTTCGAACACCGACAATCTATTTTTATCCTGTTCCTTTAGTGGCCAAGTCTCTGCACTGTAGAGCAGGGCTGGCCCAACTGCTACAGCATACACTCGACCCTTCACAGACAGCTGGATGTCGCGACGGCGCCACAAATGTCTCAATTTGGCAAATGCCAATCGAGCCTTTTGTATGCTCGCCGACACTCTATCTGTGATGCGTCCGCCAGGTGAGATATAGCTGCTCAATTGGGATCCCTGGATTAGTCAGAGAGGCTACTTGGAGGTTCACATGCAATCCCAGCCAACAGAACTGACAACGGAGAACGCCTACTCCAACTTTGTGCTGACCACGGACTGTTTCTGTCAAGCACGAACTTCTCGCTCGAAAGACGCCACCGTCTTACATGGAGACCGTCAACCACTTCACTGCGCTGGAAACAAATCGATCACATTGCCATCAGCCACTGCTGGCGAGGATCCATTGAAGACTGCCGCTCCTACTGGTCAGCAACCGTGGACACGGACCATGTTCTGTTACGAGCGAGATTCTCTCTACGCCTAGTAAACAAACGCAGAAAAGTCACCGAAAATGGATGTCCAAGATATAATGTCAACAATGGTTGCAACTCGTCCTTCGAAGCGGAGCTCTTCAATCGCCTGTCAATTCAACCACCAGTTGAAGGACTCAATGAACATTGGAAGCAGATCAAGGAAGTTATGCAAACATCATTAGAAACAACGTCGGACCCTGGGGCAAGTTCAAAACGCAAACGATGGATCTCGTCGACCTCGACTGCCCTGATGGACGCCCGCAGAACCCTGCTTACGAATGCCAAAAATGACACGGCGCGCAAATCCGTTAAACGCCAGCTCATCAAGAGTCTGAGGAATGACCGTGAGAAGTGGTGGGTAGGAAAGTGTAGAGAGATGGAGAAGGCTGCGGCTATCGGCAATAGTCGAAATTTTTTCCGTCCAATTGGGAATACAGGCCTCAAAAAAGTAAGCGTAAGTGAGGTAATTACCAAATTCGATGGCACACTGATTCATGATCAGCAACTCCCTCTCGATCGATGGGCTGACATTTTAAGGCTCATTTCAGCTGCCCCCCATTGACATCTGATCTTTCATCCTCCATATTGGCTGAGCAAATACTTCCATTTGATGCTAGTCCTCCGTCTGAAATGGAGGTTACCCGAGAAATAAGCTATTTCAAAAGGTACAAAGCTCCCGGCTCCCACGGTATTTTTGAGGATGGAGGTTCAGCCTTGGTCTTGGAGGTAACAAAACTCCTGGGCTCCGTGTAGGAGAGGAGAGAGATTCCAGCTGAATGGTGTGAATCGGTCATCATACCGATTTGCAAGAAAGACGACAGGTCCTCCTGTGAAAACCGCAGAGGAATTAGTTTAATCAACAATACTTCCAAACTTCTCGTCGGCATCATACTCCGACGATCGTGTATATATATATATATCACACTTGTCTGAGGACAGACTGTGTACCAAACAAATCATGGTACAACAATCTTTATAAAAAGGAAATGTTCCCTGATTGGCTTGTGGGCTGAGTACTGCCAGGTTGCCCAGGCAAAAGCAAGTGAATTTTCTTGAGGAATCCACAACCGGAGCCTTCGGCCAGCCAAAGCCTGACCCGCAAGGCAGCGGGGCGGTGTGTGAAAACCGCAATTCATTGGGGTCGGTGTCCAGTTCATCGGATCATACGCCCTTCGGACGGGGTCAGACGTCCAAGGTGCCCAATACACCTCAAGCCCAATCGAGCTGGTGACCACTGCCACAACCGAAAAGGTGTGGGTGTGGTTCGTACGTCTCCTCATGGTTGGTTT